CGTTTAAACTTATGCGCTTGGTTACAATTTGTCATTTGAGTAGCGTCAGCGACATAGATCCAACTGTGTGCTGTGGGCATTTGTTTTACTCCTTGATCACTTAGAACTTCCAATTGCGCAGCCTAGTGATGAGGATGGGATGGTAATTTCTGTCAATTTTGATGACACTCAATGGTACGGTTTGTGAGGCTTCCTACCGAATGGTTAACTTGAACACTGTGCATCCGCAACTTATTTTACCCAGTGGCTACGCTTTGTAAAGGAAATGTTCCTTGGCATACCTTGGTCCAGTGATTGGCTTCCCAAGTGTAAGTCCAGGGTCCAGTGAGGACTGTTTGTCCACCGTCACGGATAGGCCCTGGGCAAGCGCAAGCGAAGCAGGTAACAACTCGCAAATAATTCAGGTACTCCGAATGAATACACCCGTATTGACCCATAGTCCGCTGTCCAAGGAAGGGATCATATCTCGAATGGGGAAGAAAGCAACTGTCCAATAGTTCAGTTGAGTTTTCCCTAGACACCAGACCATGTAACTTGTTCGCTACTAGTCAATTCTCTGAGCGAGTTGCAGCGAAGTCGGCACTGTGTAGGCAGGTCACGGACAGAAGCATAGTGCACCGAGCATGAAACTAGCCTTCAGGTTTACTGAAATCTGTTTTCTCTCGCTTACTGGCTTTCTCTGATAACTGTAACCAATCTTAGTGCACACAATCTAGGTATTTGTGTTTCAATCACAATATCTAGTACTTCAGGCTGTTCTGCTGCTACGCAAACACGACAGAATGCTACACCACTAGCTTGGAAATAAAGATATTCCGAAAATGAAAGACACAAACTCTGAAATTGCACGTAACAACGTGATTTCACTTGCTGAACATGGTCAAGTTGACGCGACTAGCTAATTCCCTAAAATGACAGCAGATGGTCTGTGTGTGTGTGTGTTTGTGTGTGGAGGAGGGTGGATATGGAAGCGATTCCGCACATTCTAAGTTTGTATGACGCAACGTGAGTTTACACGAAGTTGAAATCTCTCCTGGTGGGTTTTTGCCTGGCAAACGTTCTCCATATAAGTCACAAATGTTCGTCTAACAACAGCTCAACGTGGCGGAAGCAACTCACCATCAAATAACTTCATCGCCTAAGGCTTCATACTGGCAGACTGATTAGCGCCACATTTCCCTATTATTGCTACATACACTACAAGATACTTCCCCAGCTGCACGTTCCATCACCACTTCACTTAACACGTTATTATTGTTTATCTCTACACTGCACACATGAACACAGACTGTCGTCACGTCAAACGACTTTTTCCTCTTCAGTACTTTTAGTATTTTGCGACACCTATACCTTTCAGTCATTTTCCCATTGCATGCAACGCAAGGTGTCTGTTGCGACAGATAAATGCTTGTAAATTTTGATCATGTCATATGGTGCCTCGATGAATTCGAGAAACTATTATTTATTTATCTATAAGCTGAGTTTCATACACACAATTGATCAAATTGCTGTCCTCCTCACTAGGTTCATATGGTTGTCATGCACGGGAGTCGGTATTCACTGGTCTGCGGTCTCTGCAAAGAGCCACTGGTGAACTTAGAGGTCGGTGATCAAGCGAACGATGTCTGCCTGCGAGTACTCAAAGAGGCAGTGATTCCGGCGACCACAGGAATACTGTTGAGGTTATCGGGATCACATCCGTCTGGGCAATCTCTTGAGGTAACTCAGCTGCACGACGATTATGCAATAACAACAAAAAGCGGTGCCAGCAACTCGGAGAAGATTTTGGAGGCAGAGGAGATAAGAACTATTCGAGCCTCAGTCAAAGCGACACTAGCCACACTGATATATTCACCTCAGTTGGTCCTTAAATCCATGGAGCTACACGAGAGACGCCACCGAGAATTCATAGAGAAACGTTACCTGAATGCTTCAGTAAAACTAATGGGGCGTAATGAAGAAAATACAAGAAACGAGCAACAAGTGTGTTCAGCTGAAGAGGTCGGACGAGTATTGACAGACCGCGAAAAGGAGCACTGCAATGTTACCGGGGCACCAGTTTCATATAATCAGCAACAGCAAGTACGATTTGGATTGGATGTGTGGGAATCATGCGTGAGTGAACGGAATTTTGATTCACAGTGATTGCTCAAATCAATGGCACTATGGCGCTGAGGCACTTTAAAGTCAAATGCATAAAATATAAGTCCATAAAAGCGATGGTTATATCGGATAAGATTGGTAACCAAAGCAGATCCTTGCGGGAAGTTGGAAGCCACCTCAAGGTCTAGGTCAGGGGTCAGCAAACTACACTCCGCAGGCCTGATCCGGCCAGCGAAGTCACTTTATCCGGCCCTCCGACTGTCCCCGAATCACCTTGTTAACTGGTAGGGAACATGAGACACTTAGAATTTACATTTGACACTGCATGTCACATTGTCAATGACTTTACGCTGTTTGAACACTAGCCTGAGCCATTACAGTTTTGGCACAAGTAAGAACGTACTATCGTACAATACGTGACACTACACCGTTGGAACGTTGCTGTGAGTGATCATGAATGAAACCCACTCATCCGTACACCCTGAGATGTGTCTGTTTACCTCACAACTTTGTGCCACAATATTGGGATGGGTTCGATCACTTGAAGCAAGCGTCATATAAAACAGCACCATTTTATGCATATGTGATTTTGGAGATAAAATTGGAATAAATGGCAGGTTGATAGTGGAGAATTGCGCTAAAGGCGGAAATTGTTGAGGTTCGTACACTTTGGTATTACTAACTACATGTTCCCCAATGGCGTCTGCTCCCCTTTTGCTGAGGTTTTAATTGAATTTACATTATATTTGTAGTTCCATTTCCTTACTTTATTCCGATCCCATTTATTTCAACCTTTGCTAAATCAGTGGAGAAAAGAAAAGCGTATACCGAGGGTCGCGTTTTCGTTGTCTTTCTCTGTTTTCGTTCTGATTCCCAACTACTGTGCATAGTGATTATGGGTCCCACGCTAATCTTTTTTGTTACTTATCCGGCCCGCGTTAGTCATTTTTCCAATAATCCGGCCAGCACCAGTCAGTTTTTCTGGTAATCCGACCCGCCGTGAAAAAGTCTGATGACCCCTGGTGTAGATGAATCATTGTGAACTCAGATCCAGTTGAAGTGAACCGATCGCAAACTTAAACGTTGCAATGGACAAAACGATGTCTTTTAAGGTCGCTAAGAGAGGGCACGCTTACATTGTAACGAAGGTCAAATGGTCAGTGAAGTTGAGTGCATGCTACTTTCCATATGCGCCACTTTTTATCCGACTGCGTCCAAAAGGCCTCCGAATTCTTCTGTGTGGAAAACATTCTCCGTCGGGCAATCAAGATAGCTGCGCCCCAAACAAAGAGCATGCCACTTGGCGCACGCGCGCAAGCGCACGCAGCTAGTTGAGTGTTCAACCCCAACCAGCAAAGAACATATCGTACACTCGTGTGTGTCATGTTGCATGCGCTTCCGATTTTCTATTGGCTAGTTTGGGTTGACCACTTAACCAAGAGTAGGCTGAAGTGTGCATCTTCATGATGCATTTGGGTTGACTGTGGTCCGAGATACCTTGGGTGGCATTTGGACGAACAAACATTGTTTGTGGAAGAGCTTGAATGTTCTATCTGTATCGTTGACGACCACAATAAAAAGGAAACAACATTCCTGAAGACACTTGATTTGGTAGAACTCTTGACTGCTTTGACCAGACAAGATGCCTAGTTGGACGCTGTGTACACCAACAAACAGTTGTTTTCCATCCAAAAACGTGCTCCTTTGAGCAGCTCAGGCCATTGTGTTTTAGAATTGTGCACAGTCATATAAAGCAGGTCTAATTTTTTCACGCTGACCAGACGTGCTTACAAGATTGACAAACGGCGAAATCGTCCCTCCGAAAATATTGCGAGGCTCCAGAGGATGTATTTTTTAACTGATTTGACAGTCTCCAACGAGGAGAATCTCTGTCCGCCGCCATTCATATGGTATGCATTGCACGGAACTCTCGGTGCTTGTGCCTCATCTGTTCTTGGTTTTCATAAATGATCTAGGGAGATCAATTGCTTACGACTTTCTATTTTTAACGAATGATGTCAAAATATGGCGAGCGGTCAAATCATCGGTCTACCAAGAAATGCTCCAGTGCGATCTTAGCACGATTTTCAATTGGTCAGTTCAGTATGCGCAACCATTCAAGTGATACAAATGTCACGTTGTTCAACTACGCCACACGTAGGACTCTACATGTATTGACTTGCAGCACATGGGTTGCAATTCAGCTCCCTTGTGTGCTCGTACAAAGTGACCGCAACTAGTCAAATGTGTTCGAGGGAGCTGCGGAAATAGGCAACCGGTAGATCGGCCTGCTGAGAAGGGCATCCGGGAGATTTGCCTCATCAATCCGAGAGTGGATATTGTCGGCTACTGCGCTCTCCTCATATCCATTTCGGACATTAATAACCGTACTCCAAGCACATTATTTGTCACTGTTATACATAAGGATGCCTAATCGGTTGCCACTAACCACAGCAAAGTTCGCTGCACCGTGGAACAGATCCTTTCAACCCTATTGGGGAAAAGTCTTTTTGACCGTGGACCGATCCGTTGTTCTCTATCTAACTAATTTCCTGTTTCGTAGTTGTTGGTAGACGTCCAGGTTGGTACACTAGTTTATTCAGTTCACTGTTACAACTATACTTTCAGGAACCCATTTTATTTCCTTGTTACTGCACATGTTGGAATCGTTGTTCTAGCCCAATCTAAGCCGTAGCCTTCATCGATATACACGGAGACCAATGACGATATATAGCGACTTTTTCAGGCTTGATCGTGTTCATCTCGTGTTGACAACTCTGTTGGCCATCAGGGAAATGTATCCGGTGTTCAGCGTCCCGTCGGTTGTGGGCTTTCGGCTTTCAGTTGGATATCTAGAGTTATTCCCCAACATGGCAGTGAGCATGTGAGCACCAATCAGGTGATGTAGTCTGGATAGTCTGCTGTTATTTCGGATACCTTTCTTTGGTGTGACATCAGTACTATTAGTCCTCCGGTCTAGACATCACTGGATGAATTCCCGTAGATACTTAGTGCTGTAGTATTGCGGCCTGGTGCTATGCAACGAAACGGAGTATGCACACAGTTAGTGCTGTGAATTTCCGGATGTTTGGGAAAGTTCAGGATTTAGTAAGTGTGAGTTGATTTTCTGTCCTTCCATATTCCATGAAAGGTATCAGGGCACGGTTCATATGACTCCAGGGCTCAAGGGCATCAAGAAACCACTAAGGAGGCAGAGTTTATCCAGATGGTTGAATTGCGAAAGCAAATCACCGATAGTGCTACCAAACACTGAAACGGCACTTCCTCGTTTTTGTTTCAGACGAACAAGATGTACGATGTATTGCCAAAGACAAAGGAGGGAAATGATCCAATCGAGTGTTTCCTACAGAAGGTGCAGGCGCGGACAAAAAGTGTTTTACGCTCCATCCGAACAAATCGAAACGAACAAAACAATGATCAATTCCATTTTGGATAGTTTGTTGAGCAACTAACAGTTTTGATTTTCCTAACCTGTTTAACGCATAAATTAAAGGTATTTTTCCTTCTTACTTCCTAAATAAAAAACTGAATCTTCATGCAATATACCCTCTCATGAGTGTAAAAAGCCTGACAGCATAGTTCGCTAGGTACGCGGCTGTCAGCTGTCACAGACAATGTATTAATTTATATGGATGGCGGCTTCCAATTCCGGATTCGCCTGTCGCTGTGACCACCATAGGACAACCACAGGACGCCTGCGCCTACAGAGGGACCGTGGGTGCATTGCGGTTCACTATCCACAGTTCCAACCCCACACCCAATACGCAGTGCAAACCCGAAGGCATAGTACCGGGAGACATGTGGATGGGAGCCAAGTTTCATTAAAGGAGCCGTCCCACACTCCTTCAATATGCAAAGCGGCAGCATACCTGTCTACCTATGTGGGGATTCATACGTACCAGATGTAAACAATGCGGTGGCTGGACCGTAGTCCGCTTCAAACAGGAAGGAACCACTCCTTGAGCCCAGTACGACCACGAGGACCATGCACCCCGTCCTCACCAGCAACGATTCAGTCTCCTGGATTAAGTAATCCAGATAGAAGGTGTTAAACAGGTGGGAACCTTGTCAACACACATCAAGCACAGGCACAGGGGCATACCAAACAACCAATATGGCATTTAAGGGAAAGCGAACACGCAAAATTTACACAGAATATGCAGCAGAACAGCACAATTGAACAAACCAAAGAATGAGGAATGATTCTTATCCAGCTTAAAAACCCTAGGTTAAGTGTGGGTTGATTTAGTCCAACTGTGGTGGAGAAGTATCATGAATGCAACATCAAACAGAGCATCAGGCACAATAATATATATATATATATATATGTATATATATGTATATATATATATATATATATATATATATATATATATATATATATATATATATATAATTTGTGGTATCCGGTTTCGGATTTGCCTGTCACTGTGGCCAACCACAGGACGCCTACGCCTACAGAGGGACCATGGATGGCTTGCGTTGCACCACATACAGCTCCATCCGCACACCCCATATCCAGTGTAAACCCGAAGGAATAAGACCGGAAGGCATGTGGGTGGGAGCCACGTTTTATCAACGGAGCCGGCTCACACTCATTCACACGCAAACACAAGCCCGCTGTAGTTGGGAATCAAGCGCACACAAGGCAGTTGCTGGACCATAGTCCACTTCACATTGAGAGCATGCAATCACTCTTTGATCCTAACACGGCCACAAGCACCGTGCACCCCGTCCTCTCCAGCAATGACCAGCTGTCTCCTGGAACCAGTATGGACGAGGTATTGGATATTAAACAGGTAGGCACCTTGTCAACATGCACATCAAGCGCAGCCACCCCGGAGATATCAAGCAACAGCCAATCACTTGTGCGAAAGATAACAAATAAAATAAATCGAGTAATGTATAGGGAAACCATGACATACATCTTAAAATAATGAGCATATGAAATAAGTTGTTTCCAAAAGAATCCGAGATAAGTTCAGACCATCGGAAAGCATATTTTACGGAAATGACACAAACACGCGAATGTTATCGAAACTAACTACAATTGGCTTAAGCGACGTGTGCAAGCTTATAGCAGAGAGTATAGGTAGACATTTATATGAGAAAGAAAAGCATTAGAAGAAAATTGAAAACCCACCACATGAAATAAATAGACTTAGCGTGCAAGCACGCGTTTAGTAAATCGAATGCAACGTACCTACAAACACTGTGCCGGTTCTGCCTACGTTCTCTGCAGGACCCGCCGTTGCTTCGGTGGTGGTCCCGAGTGGCCTCGCTCATGGCTCACTAAGCCTGTCTGACTCAGGCACTCGCGACTGCATGTGATACAGCATCATGCGCTTGATGTCGACGGAGAACAACCCATCGTTGCTTGCCGCTTCCGCACTTGCCGCTTCTTCTCTGCATCCGTGAGGTCATTCTCCCGCACTTCGGCAACTGACTTCGTGATTGGATAGCGCCATGCACGCCGATCAACCGCCATCGATTCCCATGACCTGCTTACTTTGATCATGTCACGGTAAAGTAACTTTTGTTTCCCGACGGGCCGCTTCCCAATACTCAGCTGGCCGTATAAGACTTGTTCCGGTATCCGCGTTGAATCCATACGACTCACATGACCGAGGCACCAGCAAAAGTATGCAGTCCACTGCATACATTCCACTATGTCTCAACCTTCCTGTGTCAGCAACTCTGTCGCCCCAACCGATGCGAAAAATTCGTCGCAATCATTGCTGAAGAAACCGCTCGGGATATCGCACATCCCGCCCGTACATCGTCCACGTTTCACTGCAGTATAGAAGAACCGACAACACCATGGATTTGTACACCATCAGCTTCGTGTCAATGGTAATCTGATGGTTGTTCTACACTCGGTACTCAACTTCCCGAATGCCGCCGCTGTCTTCGACAAGCGGATACGCAGCTTACTGTGTATCTACTGATCAGTCGACATCACACTTCCAAGGTAGCTGAAACGGGAGGTGGTTTCCAATACTTCAGCATCAATGCTGATTCACGGCAATATTGTTGATTGCACCTCCGGTGAAGGCTAAATAAACAGATAGTTTAACCTGTGTTGACGGTGAGCCGAATTTGGCCGCTGTCGAAGCCAGAGCACTAGTCATGTGCTGCAACTCATCCGCGCTGTGTGCAATCAACGTACAGTCGTCAGCAAACAGAAACATACGGATAGCTATCTCACAGACTAGAGTTCTCGCACCGAAACGACAGATGTTCAGCAACCTACCATCAATACGGTGCTCCACACGAACACCGTCAGCACAAGCGGCATTAAAAGCAAAAGATATCATTGCATGAATATATATATGTATATATATATATGTATATATATATGTATATATATATATATATATATATATATGAAACAGAGCAGGAGCTCAGACGCAGTCTGGCTTCATACCAGATATCACAGCTGGACTCTAACCACA